GGGGGCGGGGTGGTGTCCGGTGCGGGCGGATCCTGGTGCAGGGATGGGGGGGGGTCCCACAGTCTGGGGGAGATGGTCCTTTTTAAGCATCCCTCCGTCAGCAGCGATTTCTGAGGGTCTCTAACGAGCTGGGGTGTCTTGGCTGGACGCTGGTGGTTCGTGTTTGAGACGTTTGTTGGCAGTCGTTGCACGTGGCCAAGTGCCAGCGCCACGCCAGGGTGAAGGAGCGTGGCTGACTTGGCGGCGCGGGCCTGGCTGATGCCCGGCGTGGTCACCCCCCTCTAGGTGAAGGAGAACAATTACCGCGGCCATGGGGACAGCGTGGATCAGCTGTGCTGGCACCCCAGCAACCCGGACCTCTTTGTCACTGCGTCGGGGGACAAGACCATCCGTATCTGGGACGTCCGCACCACCAAGTGCATCGCCACGGTGAACACCAAAGGTGGGGAGCGGTCGGAGCACACCTCTGCGGGGCCCAGCGTGAACCAGAAAGCTCTGCAGGACGTTGCTCCAGCATCTGCATCCCTCGGGCTTGCCTGAGCCAGGGGGTGGCCAGATGCCATCAGTGCTCCAGGCCTTCTCTCCTCTCCTCGTGTTTATCTGCGTCTGGTGCTGGTCTTCCACGGGGCTGGGCTGGCTGGGCCGGGTTGAGCTGCATGGGCGCTAGTCAAACGGCAGACTATTTAGCGTTGTTGCTGCCCTCATGTGGCTGTAGGCACCAGGGATCCACGTTGCGGGAGATGAGTCTCTCATCTGCTCATGTTTCTGATACAGCTTTTTTTCCATGGCTGAAGCATATACAGAGGGTATCCATGTGCATGTGCCTAAGCCCTGGAAAAATGTTGCATATGCATTTTTTTTCTTGCAAATATCACGAAGCGCTAAGCAACATACCAGCATCCCCGTGGCTGTGCAGAGGGCCGGGCCGGGCCGGGCCGGGCACTCGGAAGTACTTATTGTGGTCGCTTTGCTCTGAGGCCAGAGTTCTGTTGGATCTAGTTTCCCGTGACGCACTTACCAGGCAGCACTAAGCAGCAGTAGTGGGTTTGCAGTGTAAACTTGGCCTTGGCCACATGAGAGCAATTCGGAGTTGGTAGGGCAGGCGTGAGGCTGGGGCCGGCTGTGGCTCCTGCGCTGCCCTAGCTCCTGGTTGGACTTGCCGCACTCTCCTCCCTTCCAGGGGAGAACATCAACATCTGCTGGAGCCCCGACGGCCAGACCATAGCGGTGGGGAACAAGGACGACGTGGTCACCTTCATCGACGCCAAGACCCACCGCTCCAAGGCTGAGGAGCAGTTCAAGTTTGAGGTGAACGAGATCTCTTGGAACAATGACAACAACATGTTCTTCCTGACCAACGGCAACGGCTGCATCAACATCCTCAGGTATGGCCCTGGCACAGCTTCCACCTTCCCCGGTCACAGGTAGATCCTCTAGTGCTCCTCAGCAGGAGCCCTCGGGCTCGCTGTCCTTGCATGGTTCCCTCCCCTGCGGCTGTGGCATCCTCACTGAGCGAGGGAGCCTGGTTCCTTGTGGTACTGACCCCCGGCTGCTCGAGCCTGTGTGGCCTCACTGTGTGCTGACCAGGGTGCCCCTCTGCGGGCAGCACTTGCTGGCCCGTGCCCTGGAGTCTGGGCCCTGCTCACTTAAGCTGTGTCTTCCCTATCTGTGCACAGCTACCCAGAGCTGAAGCCCATCCAGTCCATCAATGCCCATCCTTCTAACTGCATCTGCATCAAATTTGACCCCATGGGGAAGTACTTTGCCACAGGAAGCGCAGACGCTCTCGTCAGCCTGTGGGATGTGGACGAGCTGGTGTGTGTGAGGTGCTTTTCCAGGTAGGTGCCCAGGCCCTGTGCCTGCTCTCTGCCCTCCCAGTACAGAGGTGGGAGAGCCCTCACCCCCCATCTCATCCCCTCCCCTCCCCTCCCCTCCCCTGCAGGCTGGACTGGCCCGTGAGAACACTGAGCTTCAGCCACGATGGGAAGATGCTGGCATCTGCCTCTGAGGATCACTTCATTGACATAGCGGAAGTGGAGACGGGTGAGTGTTCTTGCTCCCTCGGCCCTCCGAGGTGGCTGGCTCTTGTCACGGCTTAGGGCAGTGGTTCTCAGCCTTGATAGATTTAAGGCCCCGCTTGGAAAATGCCGGCTCTGAGCTTTTTGACCGTAGACAAAACAAGAGAGCAGTCCTTTTGGTGCAAAGACCAGAGCAGGGCAGAATGGTTTTGACACTGGTTGCTGTTTGAAATCTCTGGGTTTATCTTGGGAATCGCGTGTGCATATCTAGCAGTGCTAACGTGGCATGGCACCCATAAAAAGATCTCAAGGCACCCCAGATTGCTGTGCCACCCTGGTTGAGAGTCACTGGCTTTGGAGACTGGGGGAGGGGATTGGCAGGGCTGGGGACTGGGATTGCAGGAGATGGGTAGGAGCCCAGGCTGGAGCAGGCAGGGGTGGGACTATAGGAGAGGGGTCTGTCCATGCCTGTCTCTCTTGGTATGTGTCATGGCTTATGAGAGAGCATAGGTGCCTTGCTTCCTGCACTGGCAGGAGTGTGGGTAGGTATGGGGGTGCATCTTGGGGTCTGTCCCAGGGCGCTGTTGCCCTGTGCAGGGCTCTCTGGCTTGGCTCCCCTCACTCTGCCCTTTATCGCCCAGGGGAGAAGCTGTGGGAGGTGCAGTGCGAGTCACCCACCTTCACTGTGGCCTGGCACCCCAAGCGCCCGCTGCTGGCCTTTGCATGTGACGACAAGGATGGCAAGTACGACAGCAGCCGGGAGGCTGGCACCGTGAAGCTCTTCGGGCTTCCCAACGACTCGTAGCGGCACCAGGGCAGGGCACGAGGCCCCCAGCGGCCCCACTCCGTACCTGCAACATTTCGTCTGCCCTACCAGCCAGGATAGATGGGCTGCTGGCAGTGTGGGGCTCCCTCTTTGGCTGTCTACAGGGACCCCCAGAGCAGGGCCTGCAAAGAGCAACTCCTGCCCTTGCAGAAGTGTGGAAAAGAAACCCTGCTCTAGTGTCTGACCGCGCAGGGCAGCCTCCCAGGGGAAAAGATCGGGGCCCCGGACTGGGTGGGCAGCGGTCCTTGCTAGAACAGTTCGCTGATAGCACAGCTGCCCCTTCCCCCTGCCACGGTGCTGTGGTCGGGGGTGCAGCGTTGGAGAAGCGTTGCTCTTGTAGAAGTGGCTGCATGAAGCTGTCTCCTGCCCAGGGTGGTGTTCTCCCTCCTGTCTTTGCTGGGCTGTCCAGCGTTGGGGTGGGAGTATTTTTGTATGGGTTTTTGTAACTTTTGATAAGCACTCCAATAAAGGGAGTTCAGCGCCAGCTGGCCAGGGGCTTGATGTGCAAGGGGCCCAGGGTGTCCTGCCACAGCATTGCAGGAGGGGGCAGTGCATGCCCAGCCACGGAGCCTGCAAGGGCCTGGTGGCTTGTAACCAGCCTGAAGTCTCCCTTGGCTGCCTGGGGTCCTGGTCCTTGTCACAGAGCAGAGGCCCAGGGCAGGCTGGGCTCGGCCCTGTCCCCAGTATCCCCTGCATCCCATGCTGGGTGGTGCGATGCAGGGCACCCCACGGCAGGAGCTTGCAGTTTTCCTCTCGTCAGCTGCAGCTGGAGGGCGCTTGAGGCTTAAGCCCTCCTGTTGGTCACCTCTAGCCCTGCCTCTTGTTTCGGGCTTCCCCGGAGTGGTGGTGGAGGGGGCTGCATGCCCTGGTCCCCGGGCTCATGGTATCATCCCCCAGCTGTGCCCAGGCTCCTTCTGCCAGGCTGCTTCAGGAAGGAGCCTGGGCTTCCCCCCGTGGGAGCCAACAGCAGCTGCCTGACCCTGGGCATCTGCCAGCCCAGCTGCTCCCCATGAGGGCCATGAGGGCTCTGTGCAGGGGAGGGGGACCCCTGAGCTGTACCACCCCCCAAAGCTGGGGAGGGTGAGGAAGGGCTCCAGCAACTGCTGCCTCATCTGTGCATGGGGGTAGAAACCCCAGGCCCTGTGGGAAGCAGGAAAAGGGCCCCGGGCTTGGGGCTGGTCCTGCCCGGAGCTGGTCTCAAACGCGGGGGGCTCCGCGCCCCAAGGCAGCCAGCCGGTGGCACTGCCACTCCGAGCATGCCCTGTGCCCCAGCCGCCGTGCACGCTGGGTGTTGTAGTCCCCAGAGCCCGGGTTCGAGGCTGCAGGTGGGCGCAGCTGCCCTGTGCCTCAGTTTCCCTGAGACCCCCATGAGCTGCTGCAGAGATGCCCCCTCCCCGCCCCTTGGGCACGGCGCGGGGGGCGCCCGCAGCTCGCGCCCTGCCCGGGGGAGCTGGAGCCGGAGCAATGTACAAATCCCTTTATTGTCTCGTCCTCCAAAGACGACTGGCGCGGGATGGGCACCGGGCACTGGCAGTGGCCCCGGCGGCCCCGGCTGCGGGGGCC